ACCCCACCCCTCAGAAACAAAACCCCATGATCCTCCCAACCCCACGCTCCCATGGGATACTCCATCCACCCCACCATCACTGTGTTCATGAGCCTCCTGATACCCTGAGGTATGTAGAAAAAACATTTAACGCTGTGTCTATGTCTGAATCACTGAATCTCTCTGAATATATTTGAAGTGTTCCAATTAGATTTGGAGAGATTAAAGCATCTCCTGATTTGATTCAGATTCAGAGATCTGGCCACTGAATTGGGCTGAATCTCTGCTGAATCAAATCAGTGACTGAAGCTTCACACAGCCCTACCTGTTATATATTCAACACTGGATCCATTATATCACCACGCACCAGTGCACCCCTCTTCTGCCACAGTCATGCAACATTTTAACAATAGAGAACAACTGCTTGCAACATAAACAGGTCTTCTCCATGTGCTGGTAGTCTTCTATTAGCTACCATGCAGCTGGTGCCTCATCCCAGTGCTACAGGAGCATCAGTTGGGTGCAGCCTACTCAGGATCTTTGGCCCTGTGACAAAAGTCAAGTACTAGAAAAGAATCATTTTTTGAGTCAAAGATTTGGGAGCTTGTCAAACAGAAGTCCAAGCCAGTATGAGAGTCATGTTCAGGTTGCAAATAATTCTTTCTGCTGTTTTGAAGCTGCTAACATGCACAATCTGTGTTTTCTTTCAAGAGCTATACATGATCCCTACCATGAGAAGCCTCACAGCAGAAGAATATGTACAGGCCTTTAAGTCATTCTTGGATCACTCGACTGAACATCAATGTATGGAACAGTTCATTAATAAAGAAATGCCCCAAATACTAGCCAGGTAAGAAAGATTTCCATAAGCCTGTTAAAAAGGTGAACAATTGCATTAGTGAAGTGGGATACAAATAATATTAAATGATAATTTAGAGGCCCTTGACTGCCTCCATTATCTTCATCCATTCCAGCTGTCATGTACTTTCATCCCCCAGTCATTCACATTTATAGGTCTGACACTACATCATCTAGCCCTCTTCGTCTTGGTCACCTGGGTGGCCTTCCCCACTCCTATACCTCAAGCAGCTGTTTCTTTCATGTTCATATCACTTCCATTCTTTCAATGTGGCCCTGCCCCTGTAGGTGTTGTGCTATGATTTCCTGTGCCAAGGTTGTGTCTTTGTAGATTTGACGTAATCCTTGCCAATTGATGTAATTGGCTCTTATGTGTCATTTGTGAGTTATGGGATCATACTGTGCACCAAAGTTTTTCTGTAAAAATGTCCTTTCAAAACAATGTAGTAATGTCTTGTTTGCTTGTGAGAGAACCCAGGTTTGACTGCCAGAGACAATACATGGCCTGACGATGGTTTCATAGACTTGCACCTTAGTTTTCCTTGGGGTGAGCTTGAATGGCAGGAGCTTGTGCAATGCAAAGTAGACTCTGTTAAACATCTTAGAGGATCTTCTTAGGGATGAACAAATTTTCAAGGTGTTTGACTTTTAAAATCCCTTATAGCACTTTTTAGAAAGTTCTATTAGACCCATGCTATTTCAATTAATACACTATATTACTTCTCAGCTTGTGGCATAACAAGAACTAAAATCTAATTTCCATACCCATACCCTTTTAATTAGATGATTTTCCCAGGGTCAGAGCCTCAGTTTAACCATTTCCCCCAACCCTCTTTATTTACATTTTCAGTGGACAGACGGTTTGGAACACCCAAACTCACCTTCAAGTGTTTTTAAGAGAAGAAAGCCAATTACCTTCACTCCTCATTGTCTATTAATAAGCTTTTCAGAGAGTACTACATGGCTTTTCTCTTAGTATGTCATGGATTTATCACTAATACATAGGCTAGTGAGGAAGGGAAAGCTGACCCTTTCTGCAGATCAAAGAAGAGCAGCACAATTTCCTCCTTACTGCTGCCTCTGTTGCTTTCAAAATTTGCAGATCATTGCACAGTTGGCTTTCCCAACAGCAATCAATGGTTTTTGAGTTCTATTGTGGGAGAGTGACAGCAAAAGAAAACGGTGCCATTTTATTTATATGGCCTTTTTAGGTGCCAAGAAATGTCACTGTCCAGAAATTCCTGTTGATTGCAATTGGAAACTAGCAGCCCTTAATGGCAGAACCCACAAGGGCTTAGCACAGGGGGAACAGCCATCCAGAATCAACAGAATAGCTTGAGAGAGGAAGAAAAAGGATACTGGACTCCTCTTCCAAAGAGGGGAATGGTGGGATGTGGCCATGAATTTTCTGAAGGTGGTGAAAGATTCTAGAAATAGACAAGTCTAGACAGTGGGGCATGCACAAGCTAGTGTTGTAGCCCTGGATGAGGTGGGTTAAATCCTGAGATGGTTTATGTATGAGGGAAGGGCTAAAGATGGTACCAGGTGCATTAGTGGCTTGGAGGGAGAGTCAGGATATATACAAAGGCTGGGCAGGTGGGCAGAAAAGTGTGTAGTCTGAGTGAGAAGGAGAAAAGGTGGAAAGGGAGGAGAAGGTTGAGAAATCTTGGGTCTGAATGTGAAGGGTTTGGGATGCACAGCCTGCTATATGACCCCAGAATATCACACAGGAAATTGTCATTAGACTTCTCTTCAGTAACAACGAGTAATGGCAGTGGTGACTTTTCACAGGAAGGATCTTTTACGGGAACTGAACTGTTGTGCTCTAGTCTAGATATAAATTGCCAGTGGCATCAATTTCTTGATAACTCTAGTCTAGGGGCACTTTGCTGCACTCGATTCTGGCGCACCACTCTCCTTGGCTGTAAAAATATTTTTCATTGAATGCAAATGAATGACTTTTAATACAGTAGCCAACTGCCAACTGTACTTCTCTACTTTGAAATATGAGTCGGCTGTTGGTATCAAGCATATTCATGCAGTGCATTATAGTACAGGCACAGCTGTGAGGAGACAGTCACATTTTTAGGTCAGTTTAGGTGACAAGCTTCAATGAATTCTGCAAAAAATATACTAAATCCTGGGATATTTTGTTTCTGCATTAGCACCAATACCACACACTTTAATAGATTTAACGCAGAGAATTGGTCTTAACATTATGATTGAATAATGCATTGTATGTATTTATCATTTCAGTCTTGGAAATGGAAAATCCACTATAAATGTTCTGGGAGTTGGAAGTGGCACAGGTAAGATGTTTAAAGCTAATAACAAAACTAAGGTACTACACCTGTGTTTCTATTGTAAGGATTTGGTACATTATAGAAAGTGCTGTCAAAATGTTGAAAAAAATGAAGAAAACTATGGAAACTATTTTAATATGTCGAATTTACAGTGAAATAGAAAGTGAAGGAAATGGGGACCTGAATCAACAGTTAAAATAGCCTTTCTTCATTAAGCACCTGGATTCAAATCCCTACTTATCTAACAAATGAGAAAAATGTGTTGACTTTAGTTCCAGTTCTAGCTGTACATGTTTAAACAATGCAGGTGGGGGGGGGGGTTTTGAACGTTTCAAAGTTTATTTTTCATTGAAAAATGGACTGTAATGGAAAATGTTTTTGGAGCAAAACCTCATTTCTAATGATTTTAAAAAATGTATTATTTTGGAAAACATGAATTTTTAGTATTTTCAGATATTTTTATTTTTAAAAACTTTGGAGAAATGTCCAGATTTATTTTTCCTTCTAGCAAAGTGAGGAGAAGATGAAACAAATTGAGAAAAGTTCATGTTTTCAGTCATAATTTTCATTTTAGAAATAACACCTTCAATTGTAAGCATTAAATTCTTGCTTTCAAGACTTCCACCTTTAAACCTGACACTTTCTCTTAGTTTTTATTTGCTCCCTTGAATTAGAGAAGGTAACAGAGCACATATTTGAGGCTTTGTTTTTCCAAAAATTGAGAAAATGTCTGAAAAAGTAGAGGGAAAAATGCACTATAAACCTTTTTGGGGGGTGGGAGCAGGGCACAAGTCTAAAAAATAAACTCTCCTATGTTTTCTTAGAGTTTAATGACATTTCAAAAGGAAAAACCATTACCTGATGGGGACATTTCTAATGAGGATTTATTTTTCTGTGAAAAATTCTGTAAGGAAAATGTCCATTATCGGGACAGCCTTCACAATTTGGCATCACTAGCACTCCACTCAAGACTGTCTGGGGACTGGAAAGCAGAGGTTCTGCTGCTGTGGGTCCAGAGTGTTGATAGAAAGATTAATTGTGAGCTCTGACCTTTTCATGCTAGGAATCTTATGTCACGAATACCAGAAAAGTGAGTTTAGCAGACTAGGTTATTAATGGAGACTGGTTACCTACTCACCATCCTTGATGGCTGGTGGTGACCCAGATCAAGTTTTCTCAGTCATGCAGTGTTTTTTCACAGCTGGAACAACTATCAGTAACTAAACAGTAAATTCCTGATTTCTGATAAGTTTGAGTTATCAGAATGGCCTCTTTCATTTGAACTTTACTCCTGCTTCATGAATATTTTCATGAATTGATCGGAGTTGATGTGTAGTACCTGATTCCTTCCAGTAAACTTAAACAGCTAGATTTATACAAGACCGGGAAGTGAATGAGACCTGGAAAATCACATCTAACAGTCGCTGAATCTTTCACTGTTCATATTGGTAGAGTGACGTGGCTGTCTCTGCCACACCCCCTTGCAACTTCCTTATCTTGAAGATTGATCATTTAAAGGCTGACATGTTCAGGAGTCTTACGGGGAGGTTAGATCATATTAAAAATGGCCATCAGATCTAATTTAGTTTGCCCAGGTGCAGACGTTACACATAATCAATCTAAAACCCTAACAGAACAGACTGGTCCACAGAACGGCAGAACCCGGTCTAAGATAAATTTGGATCAATGTACATTCAAACTTAATTGATCTAGGTTAGATGGGTGAATGGCACTTCTGTACAGTTACCTGCACAGCCCCAGGGCTGGGAAAGCCCAGCCACTGGCCCCAGCCCCAGGCTGTGCTTTTCCTACCTTTCCCCTGGCAGCAGCCTATTTTTAGCCCCCTGGCCCCTCATCCCCACCCCTGAAGCAGTCCCACCCCTCAGGTTCCTAAACCCCCTATCCTGCAAGCTGCTTCAGGTGCTGACTTTATCAGCATTCACCACTGCTGGAAACTAAGGCAGTAAGTATCAGTGGGGGAAGGGGCAGGAAGGATGGGGCAGACCAGGGGGCTAAAAATAGCCCCAAGACTCCCTGTAGACCCCCACAATCCCTCCTGCAGATCCTGCCAGGCCCTCCATCCCCCATGGAACCTATTTGCACCCCTAATCCCTCTTGCAGATCCTGCCTACTTCCCCATCCCCTACAGACACCACCTGACCCACTGATATCCTGATGCCTCCTGTGGATGCCGACTGCTCGCCCCCACAACCTGCCTGTTCTGACTGCTCCAATCTCTCCTGGGGTCGCCATCCACCACCCATCCCCCTGATTCCTCCTACAGATGTCACCTGCTCCCCATATCCCCCCAATCCCTCCCACAGATGCTGCTTGAACCCCCAATTTCCCATTGAGCCTACTTGCACTCCCCACCCATCAACCCCCCGCCACTAGCCCTGCCCATCCTGATGTACCTTAGATTGGGTAGCCATTTTTAATGTGATCTAACTTCCCCCTAACCTCCCAAATGTCTGTGCTTAGCCAACAAGAAGAATAGGGAACTGATTATAACTAGGACAAAACTGTATGAGATGAAGAGATGAAGGAATGCTCTGTAAAGCAAGGAGAATAAAGACACCAAAATGGAAAATAATAGAACACAGACAATTAAAAGCAAGTTTCAGGTGTAATGATGTAGTTTCCGAATCAAAATCAAATCACAGTGGAACCTAGAACTGGCCGCGCTCACTGAACAGCTAAATATGCTTTAAAGAATGGCAAACAGCTTCTATTTGTGGCTTTTTCTGTTGGTTGTGGGGATATAAGTGATTATCAAACTGCACAGTAAATAAACAGCATTCATTAGCCTGCAACATCTGAGAAGCATTCTGCTCATGTTTACAGAAGCAGTGCTACACATTTCATAAGACATTTTTGACCAATCCTGAGCCATACCCTGGCCAGAATACAGCAATCAGCATCTCTCTTCCTCATCAATGAACTCAGGTCAGAATAAAGTCTGAACTCTAGCGCACTTGGTCTCAGGTCACATTTGTAATCAACATATTCTTCACCTCACGTGTAGCTTTGGAGTTACACGTGAGATAAGACATTAGTCAGGATTGGTAAATGCAGCAGTCCGGCCTATATCTGTGTCTATATGTATTTATAGAATATATCAACATACAATTGTATCTACCATAGACACAACTGTCATTACCTAGAATGTCTCTGCTTCACCTGCATGCACTTCTCTCCCAGGGACCAGATTCTTTTGGAGTTCCTTGGGTCCATGCCTGCACACTAGGGGCACATCTAGATGAGTGTGCACATGTCTATTGTGGCATTTCAAACCAGTTTGGCATGCTGAGAACAAAAAAATGTTCCCCGTGCTGTGTATTTGCAGCACAGGCTCTAAATTTGATACCTGGATTTCCAAGTATGAAAAAAAACCCACCCTAGAAAAAAGAAGCACAGAGCATAGTTCTGCAGTGTGCTCAGAGGCAGGCTGGGGCTCAGACCTCCAGAAGCACTCTGGCATCTGACCAGAGCATCTCTATGGTGATCCTGCTGTCCTAGCATGCTGCGTTAGTGTGCGGGGCAAAGAGAAGCAGGGCAAGGCTGCAATGTAAGCCGGCCCCAGGTACTGTCCCAGGAAAGCCAGAACTGGCCACGGGGACTGTGTGGTTTCGGGGGGGGGAGGGGGGTTGTGAGTGTGTGGGTGGGTATGGATGGGTTTGTGGGTATGGGGAGTGGCAGGGTGTGTGTGGGGTTGGAGGGT